ATTTCCACATCCAGAGGTGGTTCTAACCTTTCCAGACTTTTCTTGTCTCTACAGAAATTGGACATTTCATATACATGGCCTTTGTTATTTTCCACTGACTTTTAAACATGTTTAAGTCTTCCATTAAAGAATTATTAACAAAACCCCTCTAGACTTTCACTCCGCATTTCTCTTCTCCCCTTGCACAACTCAACTTCTTGAAGAATTGTCTGTTTCACTGTCTCCACTTCTTTCCACATCCTTAATCTTTCACAGCTCTTGAAAAGGTCTCCAGTGATCTCATGTCACTAAATCCAGTTTCGGTTCTCAGTTGACTTCTGAGAAGCAGGTCGCTCTGCTCACACTGTTCCCCTTCATGGATACCCTCTTCTCTTGGCTTCTTTGGCACCACACCACACTTTCTGGTTTTCTTTCTTCACCCTTCTGTTTCTTTGTGTAGCTTCCTCTGTAATGATTGTATATACAACCATGAAAGGATTCTTCAAGGCTTCGTGCTAAGCTCTTTTATTGTCACTTTGTATTTTTTCCTTATGCACTCTCTATGCCAGGGCCTCACTTGTTTGTTGGCAAAAATCACTTATACATTTGTTTCTACAGACCAGTTTTCTGAGCTCTATACCTAGAGATGACTGCTTATTCAATAGCTCCACTTGGATGTCTCAAATTTATGATATTGCCCCCCCAAAATGGGTCTCTGCCCGAGTTCCCATGTTCAGTGAATGGCACTGTCTATCCTGCTGAACAATCCAGACCTATAGGAGATACATCCTCCCACACCTCATATATCAATCCATCACCAAATCTTGTAAATTTTCCCTTCTGAATATCTCTAATTCCTTTCACTTTTCTCTATTTTTGCCCCTGCCACCTTTACCCAGCCTCTTAATTCAAATACAGCAATTGTTTTCTTTTGATTTTGTTTCTTTTATCCTTACCCGAGGATATGTTTTCATTGATTTTAGAGAGAGGAAGGGGGGGGAACATCGATCGATGTGAGAGACACACATTGACTGATTGCCTCCTGCATATGCCCTGACCTGGGGCAGGGAGTGAACCTGCACCCAGGTACGTTCGCTTGACTGGGAATCAAACCCTTGATCCTTCAGTGCACAGGCTGACGCTCTAAGCACAGAGCCATATTGACCAGGGCTTGATTGTTTCTGTTTTTTTTCTTTACACTGTGTGATCTGGTTTTCACCTTCCTTTCCCTTGTCATGTAATTTTATCTGATTATATTATTTCTCCTAATTTTTCTAGTGTTTGTAGTCTTAAAAATATACTTATATCTCTGCCACTTAACTTGTCAACTTTAGAAGAAATCTTTTGACCCATCTATAAAAGATGAAGAAATAATTCACTAAGTACCTCTTCCTTTCCCATTTTCCCTCCTGAATTGTTTACAGACATTTACATTGTATTTTGTAGCCACAGTTCACAGATGTTTTAATCTTAGCTCTGGTTATAATAGTTGCAATGCTCACTGCTAGCCTTTGTGCCCTAGTTTTTCATTTGTCTCTTGATTGGCTGAACTTTTTCCACAGTGAATTTTTTCACAAAGAGACCATGAGATCTAGTATGTTCCTTGAGTTCTTGTCTGCTCTGTTGTCATTATAATTGAAGTATAATTTGGCTGAGTATAAAATTGTTAAGTAACATCCTTTCCCCCCACAAAGGGCTTCCAAGTCACGTTCTTTTGCCTTTGTACCTGCTAGAAGTGGGAAGCCAGCCTTCTTTATCCTGTTGCCTCCGCCGCCTCCCCAACTAGGTGATTTAAGCTTTTTGTCTAGATGTGTAAAGGATTTTTTTCACTTAATCCTTGAAGTCTGGTAACTTTGGTTTTCTTATTCAGCGACACCAATTATGTTTACGAAGGATCTCCATTATCTGACTTTCCCATATTTTTCTCTAATTTTTAAAAACTTCTTGTTCACTTCCATTTCATTCGTTTATTGAGGTATGGTTCACGTACCCTTTTAAAATTTTATAATTCAGTGGCTTTTAGTATATTGACAAGATTGTGTAAACATTGCCAGGGTCTCATTTCGTTTTGCATGCTTTTTAAAGTCTTGTTTTCTTTTTCCTCAGTGTATCACTGAAGACTATGATGTCAATTTGTTCTCTTAGTGGTGTTAATTTCTTTTTCTTTTCTTTTTTTAAAATATATCTTTATTGATTTCAGCGAGAGGAAGGGAAACAGAGAGAGAGAGAGATAAACATCAATGATGAGAGAGTCATTGATCAGCTGCAGCCCGCAACCCGGGCATGTGCCCTGACCGCGAATCGAACCCCGATCACCTGGATCCTAGGTCAAGGCTCAACCGCTGAGCCACGCCCGGCTGGGCAAGTGGTGTTAATTTCAATCACTTAGTTAAGGTGGTATCCATTCAATTTCTTTCTCCTTTGTAATTGATAATTTGTGGGGAAATACGTTGAGACTACATAGTATTCTGTTTCTCATCAGACTTTTACCTACTATTTTTAGCATTTATTGATGATTCTTAATTGAAACAATTACTAACCTGGTAATTGCCAAGAGTAATTTTCTAACCACCTTCATTACTCTACATCTGTTTTCATTCTAGTGTAAGAGCTGTTCTTTCTTCCCCACTTCTTTATCTATTTATGTAAGTATGGACTCAAGGACTTCTTTTATTCCATGGGCTATTCCCTTGCTGCCATTCTTTATTCACATTGTTCCAGATTTGGCCAGTGGAGCCCTTTCAAGCTGGCCTGTGTCCTTCTGACTTGTTCTCATCTTTCTCTGAGCATGTTCTGTTTTCTGAATACAACAAAATATGTTCCATATTAATCTTGTGCTTTGATTATTCCAAACCTGGAACAGCCATTTATTTAAGGAACTCTGATTCCTTTTAGTGGGGAGTGGTATTTGGAAACCAAAATCTGGAACACTAGCATACTCATTGCTATGAGTGTCATTACTTATAGGCTCTTATTGTATCTCTTGAGATTTCACTATGGCCGTTTTCTTTCTGTTTGCAGTAGATTATGTTCAAGTTTTGTTCTTAACCTCTTCCATTTTCCCCCCTATAAATTAGTACCCCGAAGCATTCTTAAAGGTCACAAGAATGCTTCAAGTATAGGGTGTAACTGTTGTATAGATAATATACAAATCTATATTCCTGAAATCTAATCCTTCCCATCAACACTCTTTTTTTTTTTTAAATCTTTACCCAAGGATATGTTTTATTGATTTTGAGAGAGAGGGGAAGGGAAGGAGAGAGAAACATTGATGTGACAGAGAAATGTCAATCAGTTGCTTCCCATGTGCTCCCAACTGAGGATCAAACCTGCAACCTAGGTATATGCCCTGACTGGAAATCAAACCCTCAAACCTTTTGGTGTATGGGATGACACTCCAACCAACTGAGCCACCTGGCCAGTGCCATCATCATTCTTTTTACAAGTTCTTTTACTATTAAACTTGCATTTTTCTAAGTAATTTTTTAAAAAGTAGGTCATGCCCTCGCTGGTGTAGCTCAGTTGGTTGAGTGTTATCCTGTGTACTGAAAGGTTGCCCGTTCGATTCCTGGTCAGGGCACATGCCTGGGTTGTGGGTTCGATCCCTGGTAGGGGTGTGTAGGAGGTAGCCAATCGATGTTTTGCTCTCACATCAATGTTTTTCTCTCTCTCCCTCTCTCCCTCTTCCTCTCTTTCTAAAAATCAATAATAAAAAGAAACTTAAAAGAATAGGTCATGCCCTGGTCAGTATACTCAGTGGTTAGAGCATTGGCCCGTACACTGAAGAGTCTCGGGTTCAAGGGCAGGTACCTGGGTTGCAGGATCAATCCCTAGCCCCAGTCTGGTCACGTGGGGGAGGCAACCAAATGATGTGTCTCTCACATCCATCTTTCTCTCTTTCTCTCTTTCTCTCTCTCTCTCTCCCTCTCTCCCTCTCTCCCTTTCCCTCCCCCCCCCCTTCCTCTCTTTCTAAAAATCAATGGAAAAAATATCCTCGGGTGAGTATTAACAACAACAACAAAATGAATCAAAATTATACCTTTTTTGTTTTGTCAGATTGACAAAAAATGTATTTTTTGGTATGCCACAGAATTTTAGTAATTAGTTTATGTGTGCCATGCAATGAAAAAGGTTGAAAATCACTGTGCTAAGTGAAACAATCCAGAAAAAAGATCACATATTGTATGATTTCATTTATATGAAGTATCCACAAATGACAGTGCTATGGAGACCAAAGTATATTAGTGGCCTAGATCTGAGGGTAGAAACAAGGAATGACTTACAAATAGGCATGAGGCTTCTTTTGGGGGCTGATGGAAATGTTCTAAAATTGGATCGTGGTAATGGTTGCACAACTTTGTGAATATACTAAAAACTATTGAATTGTGTACTCTAGGTGAATTTTATAGTATGTAAATTACACCTCAGTAAAGCTGCGAAAAATAGTCAAATTTTGAATTTGATGTCTGTAATATTTGTTATATTTAAGTATCATATCCTATTTTCATTATTAAACATTTTTTTTCTACATTCTTTCTACTTTTAAGTTTAGTAATGTCAAATCATGTTAATTAATAATAGCAACAATGGCCAGCATTTCTAATATAGTTACTATGTACTGGGCGTTATGCTAAGTACCTTTCACAGATTATCTCTCAGAGGCACTATGATATAGGTACCATTATTCCCATTTTACAGCTGAGGAAACAGTGCTCTCAGCTTCTCTAAGTGACATAGCTAGGTAAGGAGTCAATCAGGCAGGAATTGGAATAGAGACACTCTTGTCCTCTATCTTTCATGTATGAAAATGCAGTGGTGTTGCTGGAAATTTACACTGCCATTTGTATACTGTGAGTATGTTAAACGCCCTTGTGTGGATGCCACTGTGCTGAATACTCTACACTGCTGTATGTGTGATCTATTAGGACATTCACATGGGTGTTTGATATTGCCTGGCTGCCATAGAACTTGTACAGCACAGCACATCTTATTAGTTTTACTTCTTTTTCTCCACCCCACAGTCTTAATTTTAAAGACCCTGAAGCAGTTAGAGCTCTGACTTGTACTCTTCTAAGGGAAGATTTTGGACTTTCTATTGATATTCCATTGGAGAGACTAATTCCCACAGTTCCCTTAAGACTCAACTATATTCATTGGGTAGAAGATCTGATTGGTCATCAGGACACTGACAAAAGTACTCTCCGAAGAGGAATTGACATAGGTATGTGGTTTTAAATTCTTTTGATTAAATGTAAATTTTATAAATTTTTCAAGGTTGACTTCTTTGTAAACTTCTCTTGGTATTTGTTGAGTGAAAGAATCTGGTTATGGATATTACCGCTCTTATTTGCTACACCTGGGCTTTTTTGCCATTGATTTCTCTGGAGAAGGGGTTGTCAGCTCTAATAGGAAGGAAATGGGTAAGAGAGGCAAAATGAGAGCGAGGCTCTTGTTTTCTTAGCTTTTCAGATTACCATGTTGGTATCTGTGCCTATTGGGTATTGTTTTTACTCTGAATTATTTGGTGTTAGTAACATAGTCCTTATATTGTGATTTTGTGGTAATGGCTATTTGATAAAAGATCATGTGGGCCTGAATACTTTCAGGAATCTCTTGAATGATTATTTGTAGAGGGTATTTAATCCAAAATTAAAGGGAGAAAAAAAAAATCACTGTGTTAAAGTAAGATGTTCTCTTAATTGTAAACACCTACAATGGAGAACACGGTCCACTTTGATTTATTGAGGAGAGTAAGTGGATATACAGAAGGAAATGAAGCCAAGATATGTTTTGCAATTATAGATGTATTATATGTTTGTCATGGCCGACATTTTTATTTGATAGGGTTTAATTTTATTTAATCCTGTGTCCTTTACCAGTCCTTTATGAGCAAAATTGAATTAAAAGCTTTATGATTCTATTTTTAAATATAGTATAGTTACTAGCAAACATGATTTCTAGATAGTCGTAAAGCTTAACTTTGACCTTTGCATGCATTTTCAGTCCTCATCACACATAAGCTTTTTTTTAATTTATTTAAATATTTCTTTATCGATTTCAGAGAGAGGAAAGGAGAGTAAGAGAGAGATAGAAACATCAATGAGAAAATCATTGATCAGCTGCCTCCTGCACGCCCCCTACTGGGGGTCGAGCCCGCAACACAGACATGTTTCCGACTGGGCATCGAACTGTGATCTCCTGGATCCTAGGTCGATGCTCAACCGCTGAGCCACGCCCGGTGGGCCCATGTGAACTTTTATGCAGCATTTATTGACCCCTCCTTTCTCCTCTATACACTCTCCATTGGCTTCCATGACACCAGACTCCTGGTTTCGCTCTTTCAGTTGCAGTCTCCTTCTCCCCTTTTCAGGCTCGCGTCCTGCATCTGGCCATTAGGTGTTACAAATCCTTAAAGCTACATCTTTAACCCTTTTCTTATTCAGCACCCACCACTAGGCAATTTCATCCACGTTTGTGACTTTATTTTTCACCTCCATGCAAACAACCTACAAATGTATATATTTCTCCAACTCAGATTCCTTTTTTAGTGCCATATATATGAGAAACTTTAATATCTTATAAATATTTGAGACCCAAGACCACACCCAAGTCTTTCTGTTGAATCCTGGTCTTCTTCCTTTGCATCTTACTTCAGTGACTCCACCACAGTCTGCCCTGTCATCCTTCATAGTTACTCCTCCCCACCCTCCTGAGAATGTCTGTCACCATTTCCTGATGCTTTTCTCTCTTAAACATTTCTTAAATTGGCTACTTCTCTCCACGTCCGCTGCCACCATTCCCGTTCAAGTTGCCCTCATCTCTCCTGGTCTACAGAATAGCTTCTCAGCATCCTGTCTGTCGCCTCTCTATTCCATTCTCCAGAAAGTATGTGTAAACCTGTGTCTGATCATGTGTTTACTACTTTAATGGCTTCCTGTTGCTTCTGTGATAAACATGCAAAACCTTGACGTGGCCTATGAAAATTTCCATTGTCTAGTCTCTGCCCTCTTTTCTAGGCCTCATTAAATCTCGTCTTCTGTGCTTCTCTCTCTTGTTTTCTGAACTCCTTTGTTCTTCTGTGAAAGCATCATGCCTCTAGGCCTTGTACACTTGTTCCCTCCGAATGGAACTTCCCCACCTCTGTCTTATTAAGTATCATTCATAGTATTGTTAACTCGAAATTTATTTTACCAGGAAAGCTTTCTCTGACCTTTTAGCATAAGATAAGTTCCTTGATGATGAGCTTCATAAAACCATGTTTCTTCCTTGGTGGCGGGTTTTTTTTAGTTTTTAACTACACATTTACTTGTCTGATTGATCAATGTCTTTCTCTACCACTAGATTGCTAAGTGCAGAGCCTATTACTTTTTTGCTTACTATAATATCCCAAGGAGTAACAAAGGTCTGGCACATAGTAGGTATCCAATAAATAATTTGTTGAATATTGATAAATACATGATTCTTTTAGCATTCAAAAATTTGTACACCCCATATAACCTAAGTACTGCATAAAAATAATGGGGTTTAACAAAAGCTTCTGCCCTTTTATGTTCTTTGCTGATGGGTTAGAGAAAGCTTAAAAAGTTTGAGAGCCTATTTGATACTAATTTATTTTAATTATGTCCTAAACCTTCTAAAATAACACTTGGGGATATAGGAGGTTAATGGATTTTAGCTCTTCATAAGGGGCACTGGTGCTGAAATCACATTCATTCTAATTAGGGTTCTATATAAATTCTTCCCCCAGACTCCCATCAGTTTGCTCTAATTCTATGATTATACACTTTCTATTTTTATTTATCATTACAGGGTTTTTTACCCATTTAAGAATGTCATTCAGCTTTCTGAGGGCATTAGGTTGTTAGAATGCAAGTCTTTGGTCTTAAGAATTGAGAAACTTGATTTTTGGGGGAGAGGACAGGCCTTTTACCTGTGTTTATTCTTGGGCAACTGAAGAAAAGTGTACTTTTTTTTTTCTTTTAAATAAAATTGAAATATGAAAAGAGAGATAGTTGTGTGAGAATCAAAATCCTGGAATCTGGTCTGGACATTTTTTCCCCCTCCTGCAGAGGTGAAAGTGCTACTTGAAATTCCTTATTCTGAATGACTCTCTTACCAGAATGGCTAGCAGGGCTAAATAACTGTGGCCTCTGAGAGGAGCTTGAGTACCCTTTACCATCCTTTCCCTCTCCACATCACACATCCCCAAGGAGGTATTGGTCCAGTAGCATCAGGGCCTGGATGTTCTTAGGTAAACATGATAGGAAGTTTAGCAATCACAGTTACTGTCAAAAAGCTTAAATGTCCTGGCCACCAGTTGTCCTGTCTTTTACTAGGCTTTTCAGAATACTTAATGAGTAAGCAGTAAGATTAGCCTGGGTTTCCTCTGGGTTAGGAGTAGCTCTAGTCTCCACTCTTCCTGGGCCAGGATGTGATCAGGGGAAAACAGTCCTGGAGTGGCTGGTGTGGGCTAACTACTTAGGCCTTTGGAAGAAACATTGGCTTTTCTTCTCTTTAAGATCTTATTGGCCAAGATTAGTCAGTGATTGTAAAAGCAGTATTTGAAATCAGTATATAGTCCAGTCCATGGTTAGAGATTCTACATACAAATTTAAGGCCAAAACCTAGTTGTCAAAGAGTAATCTTTGCCTGAAGCATTTGCCTCTAAATGTCTCCCTTGAAACTTTGGTGGGCCAGCCAGGGATTGATGTTTTGGATCTGAATCACATGTGTTTTTCCATGTCTCCAAATCTAAGAAATGAATTTTCTCTTTAGTTTTTTTCTTTTTTAATCCTGGTTTCCTTCAAGTAACAACTCACAGATGTATGGGGAATTGGGGGGTGGGGTTAATATCATAAAATTTTTATACCTTATGTATTTTTTTCTGCTTTTGGGGAGTAAGGTGTCCGTTGATCTATTTTAGTACTGTGGTATTTTAACAGGTAACACTGATTTCTTTTAAGAAAATAAAGTTTTGTGTGAGATTTAAAATGAAGACATTTTATATAGCAAATTAAATTGTTTTGACAATTTTCAGTTATCAGTTTTGTACTCCTTGATCACCAGCCAATTATAATTATACACACTTCATTTTAAGTACAACATACAAAAAAGAGGTCAGTGAGATTTCTGTCCTCTAAGAAATATGAATCTAATTATGAGGTAAGACTAACACATGAAAGAGCTAGAGAATCCAGTAGCCACTGTCAGGCTGTAGGAATTCTAAGATAAGAATGTCGTTTTTGCTTATTATTCTCACCTCTCCTTCAGGTATGTGCAGTGTGTTTTGAATTTTTATTTTAGGTACTGGAGCATCCTGCATCTATCCTTTACTTGGAAGTACCTTAAATGGCTGGTATTTCCTTGCAACAGAAGTAGATGATATGTGCTTCAACTACGCAAAGAAAAATGTGGAACAGAATAACTTATCTGATCTTATAAAAGGTTAGCTCTACAAAATAAATATTCCTTTTAAACTTTGTTTGTTAACCTGTTTTTCTAATTTAACCCATCTCATTATCTTTTGCTTTAATATACAAACTTTGGTAATTTAAAAAATCTGGTAGACCGTCATTAGATTTTCTGTTTTATTATCAGAATTAATTCAGAAAGAAATGTAGTAAATACAGTCAATCATCATAATTGTTGGATTCTGTATTTGTGAATTTGCCTACTTGCTAAAATTTGCCTACTTGGGGTTATTTTTTTAACCCCCAAGTCAATACTACTGGTACTTTCATGTGGTTATCCATAGACCTGTGCAGAGTGGCAAAAAATTTGTCACCCAGTGTGCATGTTCCCAGCTGAAGTTGAACAGGGTGTGATGTTCTGCCCTGTTGTTTCGGCTCATACTGTAAACAAGTGCCCTTTTCATGGCCTATTTAGCGCCACTTTTTTTTTTGCACTTTCGTGCTTTTTCTTGGTGATTTTACTGTTTAAAATGGCCCCTAAATATAGTGCTTAAGTGCTATCTAGTGTTCCTGAGCCCAAGAAGACTGTGATATGCCTTACAGAGACAGTACATGTGTTAGGTAAGCTTCTTTCAGACATGAGTGCTGTTGACCATGAGTTTAGTGTTAATGAATCATAGTGTATATTAAATAAAGTGCCTTTAAACAAAAACATACATAAAATAAGGTTTATATTGATTAGTTGATAAAAATGTTTGACCAGAGGCTTGCACTTACGTAACCCAACCTGTATTTCTCCTCAGGGCAGTGGTTCGGTATTCACTGATTCAGTGGTTGTGATGACTTCATAGAGCATAAATGTATGTTCATATGCTGCAAGTAGTGAGAATCAGCTGCATATGAAGTAACCTAGTCACCAAGATTTTAAAAGGAAGAAAACCCCACTGTTGATTAAGTTATACCATCTTTTTATTTTGGTGTATGGAACTGTGCTACAAATAGTTGAATTCCCTTAATAATCAGTTACTTTTAATTTTTGTGCTTATTTTATATATAATGGGCTGGGATGTTGTTTTTTGGTGGTGGTTTTTTCCTTAAAGAGACTCCCATAAAGAGATTCCATAAAGTCTCTTTATGGAAGAAATAGGCTTTTCTTACTAGTGTTCAACATATCATTGTAAGGGGAGATACTGATATTATTAATGCATTTTTTAGTTATCCATTTCTGTATTATAAATTGCTCTAAAATCTAGAAGCTTCAGACAATAAACATTTATTATCTCATAGTTTCAGTGAGATAGGAATTTGGGCATGGCCTAGCTGGGTGGTTCTGGTTCAGTCTTTCATGGGGCTGCCATCAGCTGAAGGATTGATTGCCTAGGGGTAAAGATTTGCTTCCAAGATGGCTCACTTACATGGCTGTTGGCAGGAAGCCACCTTTAGCCGTGTGGATCTCTCCTCAGGGCTACTTGATCATCCTTACAGCATGTCAGCTGGCTTCTGCTAGAGCAAGTAATTCAAGAAATAGACAAGGAAGAAGCCATATTACTTTTTATGACCTAGCCTCAGAAGTTACAACCTCTATTCAATAAAGGTGAGTCAGTGAGTGCGGCCTATACTTAAGGAGAGGGAACTCAAACTCCACCTTTTGAAGGGACTAGTGTCAAAGAATTTGTTGACGTGTTTGAAAACTATCACAGCATTAATAGTGGTTAACAGTTCCTGTTTTTTCCTCCTAGTGGTAAAAGTACCACAGAAGACACTCCTGATGGATGCTCTTAAGGAAGAATCTGAGATAATCTATGACTTTTGCATGTGCAACCCTCCCTTTTTTGCTAATCAGTTGGAAGCCAAGGTAAAATATCCTCTTCTTTAAAGTAATTGAATATTTATCTAAGTTTACCTTGTTATATAACAAGATAAATATGTTCATTGCAAAAATTAGAGCAAATAACAGCTTTTGTTTTGGAAGCTGTATCTGGATACTTTTGTAATCAAGCGCCTCAAAACCCAATTCAGATTGACTTAACAAGAAAGGGAGTTTATTGGCTTACGTATCTGAGAAATCCAGCAGTAGCGTCGACTTTAGGAACAATTTGATCAAGGGGGTCATAGCAGTATCAAAACTGAGGCTCATTTTTTTCAGGTTTCTCTTGGCCTTGACCTAGCCCTTGGTTGGTTTTGTTCTTGGGCTAGTTTACTTGTGGCAGAGACTTGCAGGGGAAGGAGAGAGTGAAGAGAGAGCCCTTTTCTTCCCCAATCCATTAAACTTTTGGGTTTCTTCTCATTCGACCAATCTAGGTCACAGTATACTCCTGCATTGGGTTTATTGGCTTAGGGAGGAGGTTAACTGTTTTTAATGCCACCTGTCATTTGATAGTAAACAAATGTCCCATTTAGTCTTTCCAACATCAGATGAAAAAATATGTTTGTGCCCTGGCCGGTATGGTTCAGTGATTAGAGCACCAGCTCTGAAACCAAAGGGTCATGGAGGGTTTGGTTTACTGTCGGGCAGATGCTTGGGTTGCAAGCTCCATCCCTAGTAGGGGGCATGCAGGAGGCAGCCGATCCATGATTCTCATCATCAATGTTTCTATATCTCTCTTCCTCCCTCCCCCCTCCTCTCTGAAGTCAAAAACATTTTTTTTAAAGTCAATAGAAAAAATATCCTTGGGTGAAGATTAACAAAAAAAGAAAAAGGCTCTTCTGGGACGGTGACTTCAGGCATTCACAATGGTCCAGCGTTTGACGTACCGTCGGAGGCTGTCCTACAATACAGCCTCTAACAAACTAGGCTGTCCCGAAGCCCTGGTAATAGAATTGTTTACCTTTATACCAAGAAGGTTGGGAAAGCACCAAAATCTGTATGTGGCGTGTGCCCAGGCCGACTTCGTGGAGTTCGTGCTGTGAGACCTAAAGTTCTCATGAGGTTGTCTAAAATGAAAAACATGTCAGCAGGGCCTATGGTGGATCCATGTGTGCTAAATGTGTCCGTGACAGGATCAAGCGTGCATTCCTTATTGAGGAGCAGAAAATCGTTGTCAGAGTATTGAAGGCACAAGCACAGAGTCAGAAAGCTAAATAAAAAAATGAAGCTTTTTTGAGTAATAAAAGCAATTTAAAAATCCGCCCCCCAAAAAAAGATATTTGCTTATGAATATGTAAAGAGATACATTGAATTAAAACAAAGAACCTAGTAAAAATCTCAATATTACAAAATATTGATTTAACCTGTCTTTCTTCATCTAATTAACTCCCAATTAATAGAAAGTAATATTAACAGAAGAAAGTGAGGGGGTACATATGCTTAAAGCTTTGAGAAAATAAGTTGTTTTTAGAATCACTCAGGTACCCTAAAAGTACCATTTACATACTTCATAAGAAAATAAATTCCGGATGGATAAAATTTTTTCGGGGAAAGGAGGTGAGTTGGACAGAAATTTCGTATCAGTGCCAACATTCTAGATTGGAACATAAAGTGAAGCGGGATTTAAGAAATCTAAATTTTAGTCTTTGATGCACAGATAAATTTAAGAACTAAAAGAGCCACATCCTGGAGTACTTTTTTTTTTTTCAATATTGAGAAACAACATAAAAATACATATGCCGGAAGTATAAACTATGGATTTTCTAAAGTGAACACTCCTACAGAACCAGCATCCAGATGAAGAAATACAATATGTACTACTATTACTAGCATCAGAACGAAATATCTTTTTATAACAGCTTTATTGAGATATAATTCACATACCATACAATTCACTCACTTAAAATGTAAAATTTGCCCGGCCGGGCGTGGCTCAGCAGTTGAGCGTTGACCTAGGATCCAGAAGATCGGGGTTCGATTCCCGGTCAGGGCACATGCCCGGGTTGTGCAAGCTCTATCCACAGTAGGGGGTGTGCAGGAGGCAGCCGATCAGTGACTCTCTCATCATTGATGTTTCTGTCTCTCTCTCCCTCTCCCTTCCTTTCTCTGAAATCAATAAAGATATATTTAAAAAATAATAAAAATTGGGTCATTTTTCTTTTTGTTATTGTAAGAATTCTTTGTGTATTCCAGATACAGGTCTCTTATTAGATACATTATTTGTAAACATATTCTCCCATTCTGTGGGTTGCCCTTTTTACTTTCTTGATGGTGTCCTTTGCAGCTCAAAAGTTTTTCATTTTTTTGCCCTGGCCAGTTTTGCTCGGTGGTTAGAGCATTGGCCCACAGACTGAAGGGTCCCAGGTTCGATTCTGGTCTCTGAAAAGCAATGGAAAAAATATCCTTGGGTGAGGATTAAAAAAAAAAGTTTTTCATAGGCAATCTGGTTTATCTAGTTTGTTGTTATTGTTACTTATGCTTTTGGTGTCATATCTAAGAAACCATTGCCTAATCTAAGGTCATGGAGATTTTCTTCTAAGAGTTTCAGCTTTTATATTTAGGTCCTTGAGCCATTTGAGGTTTTTTTTGATATGGTGTGAGGTAGGAATGAATTAAACTTAAAAAGTAAAACCACACAAGTGCTAGAAGAAAACATAAGCAAATATTTATACAATCTTTGGGTGAGATATTTACTGTACATGATACCAAGACAGAAAACATAAAGGAAAAGTTACAGAATTGGGTACTTAAAAAGGTAAAATTTTGTATGTTTAATCACAAAGATGGAAGGTAAAAGATCCTAGGAAGGGATGTTTGCATGAATGCAGTTTTTAAAATGTAACATTGGAATGATTATATGATTTTTAAATTCTAAATCTAGCATGATATTTGGAAACTAAAATTATGTCTAAGTGTTCTAACTTAGAACTAGATTTCAGTCAAAGACTTGGTTTTAAGGTGTAAAATTTTTCACCAGGGTTTTTTGTTGTTGTTCAGGGAGTAAACTCTCGAAATCCTCGAAGACCTCCACCTAGTTCGGTAAATACAGGAGGCATCACAGAGATCATGGCAGAAGGAGGCGAATTAGAGTTTGTTAAAAGGATCATCCATGACAGTTTACAACTTAAAAAAAGATTAAGGTAAGTTGGTTATTACAATATGGGAATATTTCCCCCCTGTGTAATTCCAAAAGAAACCATGTAACATAGAGTAAATGTAATCACAGTGGTCTAAAGAACAAACAGGTAGCAGATCTTAGAGTCTGCAAAGACCGTTTCTAATGATGCTTTCATGCCTTTTAATTAATTTGCGTTTCCTGTAATCATCTATACTACATGGATAGAAAGGAGGAAAATACCATATGATTGTATTGCTTTTATTTCAGTACTGTGATGGAACAAAACTGATTCAAATATGGCTTTTGATTAGAAAACAGATGGGTTCAAATCTGTCCCATGAGCCAGAGTAAATTTGTTGCCTAGTCCTTGAAGCAATTATGTTCTTGGAATCAGTCTCCCAAACAATGACAGATGTGAGGACATTTAGCTGTCAAGAACTTAATGAAGGGAAACTGAGATCACTCACTGGTTCCAAAAGAGAGTTAAGGCTATTCCTTTTTAAAAGCTAATTATTTTGGGCAACACACCTGTCATTAAGCAGCATAAGGTACTCAAAAAGAAGTCTCACTTGACTTCTCGCCCTGCTAAGTATTGTTGAAATGATGGATAATGTGGTAGTTCAAAACCAAAAGGTTTTCAACCCTAGAATTTGGCTTTGGGACATAGAGAAGATTTTTTAAAAACTGGTAAAATACACATAACAAAATTTAGCATCTTAACTATTTTTAAAGTGTACAGTTCAGTAGCGTTAAGTGCTTTCATATTGTTGTGCAACTAATGTCCGGAACTCTTTCTTCTTGGAAAAATAAAACTATACCCATTAAACAACTTCCCTTTCTCCTCTCCCCAGCCCCTGCCATCCACCATTCTACTTTTTGTCTCTCTGAATTTGACTATTCTAGGTGCCTTATATAAGTAGAATCATAGCTTTTGTACTGTTGTGCCTGGCTGCTTTCATGTAGCATCATGTCCTCAGTGTTCATCCATGTTATAGCATATGTCAGAATTTCCTGTTCAAGGCTGAGTAATATTCCATTGCATGTATATCCTACATTTTTTAATCCCATTCATCTGTTGGTGGACACTTGGGTTGCTTCTGCCTTTCGGCTGTTGTGGATAATGTATCTATGAAGATGGGTGTGCAAGTATCTCTTAAGACCCTGCTTTAAATTCTTTTTGGTAGGTGCATTTCCAGAAGTGGAATTGCTGGATAGGGAAGACTCTTTTTCTTTTTTAGGATTTATAGATGTTTAAAGCTTATTTCAGTAAAAGGCCAATTTCAAAATCAAACATTCTGGTTTTTTTTTAAATGTGAGTTTATTTAAATATTTGTGGAAAGCAACTAGATCATTGGATGGTCTGTCATAGAAAATTTACACATCATTGAAGCCAAAGGTTAACAAATTATTGTTTTAAATTGATTTATTCAAAGATCCATTAGGGTGTGTAGAAAAAAGAGACTTAAGTAATACTGAGTACTGAGAAGAGTCTTAGTAAGTAAAATAGTCTTAAAGAAAGGTAGCAGGGCCTGAAACTCTGAAAAGAGGTAACCACGACCATGTGGCCATTTCAGTATCTGTCATCTTTAGAGGGGACTGGCGCTAACCAGGAAAATGGGGAAGGTAGTTTTCAGGAGTCTTTTAATCAGTAAATTTTTATTATTTCCGAAGTCCCACTTTACCTACAAAAATGTGTTGTAAAAGAACATCATTTAAGGGAGAGAAATTGGTCACTATGTTCCAAGTGTGCCTGTACCTGGCTCTCATAGCCCCCAAATTGAATGAAAGGTATACATTTGTTAGAACCGATCCCTTACTAGAGCCTGTCATGTCTCTAGAGAGTTGACTGTTTAGAGGTTGGTCACCTTATCTGGTTATAATTTATTAAAAACAGGGTTCAGCAGTATTGTCTGCTCCATTAGGACTCTTGCAAGTTGAGAGGAGGGATGATAATAGGAAGAAGGGAGGAAATGAAGTGCTTCTTTTGAAACAAAAATAGAGCAGTGTTTCTTGAAAGTATTACTTCAAATACTGTTTACAATTTGACACTGTACCATGGCACCTTTCATTTGTACCTACTACCCGTTCATGTCCTCCCTCATATTTTTATAGTTGACATATGTTTATACTACTATGCAGTTCTCAAATTTTGGAATGCTGTTGGAACTGCATATTTTGAAGCTCTGAAAAATAAGGGATTGAAAACAAATATTTTAATGCATCTGCTGCTTATTCCTCTAGATTTTTTTCTTTTTGTTCCTGAAGTGCAGAAACTAAGCAGAATTTGTAACACTGTGGGGTGAACTAAGTTCATTTTATTAGACTGATCTCAGTGGTGGTACTTGATATTTCATCGGCAGCGACTGCAGCTTTGTTTTGTATGTTAAGGAATTTTGCAGCTGGAAGGCCCTTGGGGTAAAGTTTATACAGCCTCTTAGTTGTACAGATTAGAGACTTGGGACCCCATCTCCTGATTCTGGTCCAGTGCTCTTCCCACCACGCCACGCAGCCTCTGCACCCAGCCTGCAATTGGACTTCTAGTCAGGCAGCCTTTTCTTTTTTCGTTGGTACAATTGACATACAGCACTATTAGACAGCCCTTTTATTGTTGATGATTTGTAGGTGCTTGTCATCCTTACCTTTCACTTTTCGTGCCTGTGATTTGAGCTTACTGGCATTTTCTTTTTTAGAGACTCACTCTCCTAATCTTTTAAATAAATTAGCAGACTTTATCAGACTTCTGATGGCCTGAATTCACTCTTGTCATTGGTTAGTAGGTCTATAGCTGATGCCCTTTATGGCAATGATTTTACGATTTTTCCAGGAACCAAAGATCTGTATCAACTTAATACTGGTTTCACCCAATGTCCCTCTTTTTGCTTTTTCCTTTTTATTCCCCTACTCCCTGCCAGATGGTGGATACTTCTTGAATTTGGGTATAATCCACAGATTTGGCGATGGGCAATACATTTAATAATTTGGGACTTTGAAATGTAATTCTTTGACTTGCCTTTTAAATTTTGTTTTCTCATTGGTAAAATGAGATAACAATAGCTACCTCACAGGGTAGTCATTAGAATTAAATGATTATATATTTGATGTAATTAATAATGATAATGAATAGTAAATAGGATCATTTAACTCTTGACTGTTCTAGGACTGCTAAGGTCCATGGTGGTGAAAGGAAATATTACAAGTATTCTGTTATTTCATGTTAATGTAGAGTTTCCCCTCCCTTCTTGTTTTTTTAAACTAGGGGCTAGTATAGTTATGGGGTACCATAAGGAATAGTGCAGGGAACAATTGTAGATTTTACGACAATCTCCAGCTGAGAGACTGTCCAGTTCTACTGTGGACTTTGACCTGCCTTTGTAAGGGGGCAAGCCACTTTATTTTCCCGGTGTGTACGGTTGGTGTGATGCCTTTTATAGTGTTAAACGTCAGAAGAACATAGGTACCAGCTCAAGCCAAGTACAGTATGAGTTCAGAAGGGATAAAGACAATAATGGACTGTAAGCCACCAAATAAAATAAGCAAGTAAAATGCATAAGGGGGATAGAGGAAATGTTCTTCATTACGGTAGAATGCCAACTAATAAATGTAGAAGGAATAATAAAGTTGGAAAAATCATTTTGCAATCGTTATAGTAGTAATTGATTTGTGGAAGAGTCAACAATGGAAAATTTGATGAGGAACAGGACATTTACATAGTTTCAAAGCATCTCCCCACAGATTACTTATAATTACAAAGAGAAATAGAATAGCTTTACAGTGGAGAAACCTGGGGGAAATACCTCCTTGACCAGGTGATCCCCTCCTGATGTGAGGCACCTAGAAAGGCACAGCAGCACCTCTCTGCTCTTCATGCCCAAAATGTATTGATAACCTGAATCTAGCTATGAGGAAACGTTGAGCAAACAAACTCAAGGAATTCTGTAAGACAGTTCTTCAAAAATATTAAGGTTGTGAAAGTAAAAAATAGGCCTAAACTGTTTCAGATTAAAAGACTAAAGAGACTTGACATGTAAATGAAATGCATGATCCTAGATTGGGTCTTGCACCAGGGGAGAAAATTGTCATGAAAGACATTACTGGGATAATTAGTGAAATTTGAATATAGACTGTATTCCAGATAATAGTATTGTATGAGTGTTAAATTTTCTCAATTTGATAATTGTTCTGTGGTTATGAAAGAAAATGTCCTTGTTTTTAAAAATGTATATGCCAAAATATTGAGAATTAAAGGGGCACGATGATGTCTGTGGCTAAGTCTCAAATGATTTAGAAAAAGATGTATCCACAGAGCAAGCAAATGGAGGAAAATGTTAATTGGTGAATCTGGGTGAAGAGTGTACTGGGATCATTTGTACTAATCTTGCAACTCCTATGCGTTTGAAATTATTTCAAAATACTTTTTCGTTTCTTTTTTTAATGATAGTAATTTTTTTAAAATATGATTTTATTGGTTTGAGAGAGAGAGAGAGAGAGAGAGACATTGATGAGAGAGAAACATTGATTGGCTGCCTCCTGCACACCTCCTACTGGGGATTGAGCCCGAAATCCTGGCATGTGCCCTACTGGGAATCGAACCTGTGACCCCTTAATGCACAGGACACGATGCTCAATCAACTGAGCCACACCGGCCAGGACTCAGAATACTTTTTCTTGAAACCTGCTGTTTCAGAGGAATTGCTAAATACTATAATGAGTAGAGTGATACTTTCATCATTAAAATAGTATAATGGATTCAAAGTCTCTTGGGTAACTGGATCTTACTTTTGTTCATTTTTTTCTACTTGCATTTTGATTATTTGTCACAGGATGCCTGTTGAGAGTAGCTAGGATTTATTAGAAGTGAAGTTAACACAGAATTTTTAATACACCCAGTTACCTCTGCTTTTTCTATAAGAAATATAACTGTTGCAGAAAACCGTTAAGTATGTTGATGAGATTAAATCTTAAAAGATTCACAATACAGTATTCATCGTACAGCAAGGATTTAAAGAAATATGAACTCTCCCAAGCTATATAAAGTACCAAAGACATAAGTTTAATATTACAAACTTACTTATCTAAATATTTGCTTTTCTTCATCTCTTGAGGAAATTTACAGTATCTTTCTTTTGTCTCTGCTTTGGGATATTTCTTGCCTTCTGGTGACTTTGATCTAATCTGTTCAGGAATGTTAATTTTAAAGGGAAGGTGTTAACCTATTTATACGTTACTATGTCAGCACCTATTGCTCTTAATTTCTTTTTCTTTATGTTGTTCCTAACATACCAAAGGCTTTTAAATTTCTTTTAATTCTCCATCTATACACTGTCTTCTTAAAGGGAGCATATTATTTTTCTTCCAAACATTCTAAAACCACTAAATGAAATAGATTATGTTCAAGGTAAAGTTACCCGAGTTTGTTTAAAGTAGTTTAGGTAGAACAATTATTTCTTTGTATTTTCAAAGGGAAAAAGGATTGATGAAACAAAAGTAGTGGCAGTCACCTATTGTTGAACCCACAAACAGTGAAAACAAAATATTGGTTAATATACTCTATTTCTAAAGCAATATAATAGTATATCTCCTAAATCTGTAATTTCTCTTTAGATGAATTTCAAATGACATAGGAGTAATTGTGATGCTTTGAAAAACGCAGGATACAGTGTCTGTTGCTTAGTGTAACTAAACTGTGTTTTATAAACAAGAAAGAAATATGTGAAACATTACTATATTAACTACTCTTTATGTATATTTGAAGGTGTAAGATACATCACATTTAGAAACCTATACACATATTTAAATGTTTTATTGAGGTATAACTTGCATACAGTAAAATTCTCCAATTTTAAGTGTACAATTTGATGAGTTTTCACAAATGTGTATGTAGCCACCACCATAATCAAGATATAGAATGTTTCCATCACCCTATAAAGTTTCCTAGTGTTCCTTACAGTCTGTCCCCACCCATCCCAGCCTTAAGTGACCACTGATCATTCTGTCAGATAGTTTTTGCCTGTTCTAAACTTTCATATAAATGGAATCATACAGAATGTAGATTTTGTGTCTGGCTTTGTATTGTAAATGTTTTTAATTTTCTATGTATTATGTTTTGATGCCTTGAAAACCTTTCTGGGCAGAGAGAGACTGCCCCTCCCTGGGCTAGCCAATTTTTAGAGATAGCAAAGGACCCAGATTGAGCATGCCTTTGATATGCAAACTAAAGAAGATGTGTTATATATACAGGGTTTCCCCAAAAAATGTATACACTCTGTAACAGCTAATAGCTCAGTTTTGAAAATGAAATGTATTTTAATAAACGCTGACTTTATAGTTATTCAAAGTGTGTATATATGTATTTTTTAGGACACCATATATATGTGTGTGTGTGTGTGTATAACACAATATTAGCCATAAAAAAGAATGAAGTCTTGCCATTGGCAACAACATGGATCGACCTAAAGGGTCTTATGCTAAGTGAAATAAGTCTTGGCCTGTTTCGATTTTTAAATCCTGGTTGTGAGTTATTTTCCTGCTTTTAATGTCTAATAATTTTTCATTGATTGCTAGATATTGCAAATCTTATGTTTTGGATGTTGTGTTTCATTGTATTTCTTTAAAAGAGTATTGGACTGCCCTGCCCAGGTGGCTCAGTTTGGTTGGAGCATAGTCCCGTACACCAGAAAGTTGGGGGTTCGATTTCCAGTCAGGGCACATACCTGGGTTGTGGGTTCGATCCCCGGTCAGTCCCCAGTTGATCCTGGTTCAGGGCTTGTAAGGGAAGCAACCTATTGATGTTTCTCTCTCACTATCCATGTCTCTCTTTCTCTCTCTCTCTCTCTCTCTTCCTTCCTCTAAAATCAGTAAACATATTCTCTAGTGAGGATTTTAAAAAATAGTGTTGGACTTAGTTCTGATGCTTGCTTAAGTTACTTGTGATCAGTTTGAGTCTCGAGTCTTGCCTTTAAGCTTCAGTAGGGTACATATAAAATAACTTCAAGCCCCATTACAAAACAGGATGCTTTCCAGAACTCTCTTAGATACCCTTTTATTAACAAGGGCTTTCTGCTCCCCCTAGTAGAACCACAAACTAGTTCCAGCTCTGTCTGGAGTACAGGAATTGCTCCATTTACTATGTCTGAGAATTCTTTCTCTAGCCTCACAGAATTCTACCCCGCATGTGCAGATAATTACTCTGCAAAATATTCCAGGGAACTCCTCTGCAGATGCCCAGAATTCTGTCTGTATGCAGCTCCTCCTTTTGTATTTTGCTATTCAAATCCTTACCATTTAGGCCTCTCTGAACTCCAATATCTAGCTCATCAATTCAGCAAGATTATTGGGCTCTATTTGAGTTTCCTTTCCCTGCATTGCAGCTTGGAAATTTCCTTCAGGCAATAAGCTTCGGCAGTTGTAAGACTCACCTTGTTTGTTTCTTTCTCTGAGATCATAGGTCTTCACTGCAGTTGTCCAGTGTCTGAAAAACAATTGTTTTATATATTTTGTCCAGTTCCTAGTTGTTTATGTTGAAAGGGCAATTTCCATAGTAGTTAATCCTTCATAGTCTAAGGAGAAATCCTGTATAAAGTTTATACTTTTCAAACATTTTTAGAATAATCAGAAGAAATAAATTCTGTTTTTTTACCTTGTAACAAGTTCACTCCATCTTCTCTGCACTCCCTCTTCTGGATTTGTATTTACTATACAAGAAATTGATTTCATGTTATGTTGAAACTCTAATGTAACATATAGCCTTAAATTATTTGCTGGTGAGGACATCTCAAAATACAGGTTTATGCTAGATTTTACAATTTCTCTTAGTATGGGGAGGGGGTATTTAGTGCATTTTTTTTTTTTTTTTAATTGAGGTATAACTGACACACATTATATTAGTTTCAGCTATACATGTTTTTATTGTTATTTATTAACTAATTTCTGTCCTAAGACTAAATGGCCTCTATTATGAGCATCACAGGTGAGACCTCTCTCTTTAAAAAAAAAAAAAAAAAAAAAATTATTGATTTCAGAGAGGGAGAGAGAGACAGAAACATCAATGATGAGAGAGAGCCACTGATTGGTCTTTTCCTGCATGCCCCTGCCCCCTCCCAGGGACTGAGACCACAACCCTCCCCCACCGGAAAACTGAGATCCTCATCTGAGGAAATGTTTATTGGTTTTAGAAAGAGAGGAAAGGGGAGAGAGAGAGAGAGAGAGAGAGAGAGAGAGAGAGAGAGAAGCATCGATGTGTGAAAGAAACATCTATCAGTTGCCTCTGGCACGCACCCGGACTAGGGATCCAACCCACAGCCTAGATATGTGCCCTGAGCTGGAATCGAACCTGCAACCTTTTTGGTGTATGGGATCACACTCCAACCAACTGAGCCACCAGGCCTGGGCAGACCTCTCTTTCACTCTCTTTACAAATATGTAACAGCCCTGAATCACTGGAGAGGCTAAGTGGATTTTTGTGGTGGTGTGTTTTTTTTAAGTTGCTTTGTGCTTATTTTCCTTGACTGGATTTGTTCTTTGTCTAAATACATTATATACAGTTCTTGTTATTGTCACTTGTAACTTAACTCAGTATTTTTTGCTACTGTTCTCATTTTGTTCACTTGAATAATGCTTAATTTAAAAATGTAACCACATAGTCCTGGCTGGGTGGCTCTGTTGGTTGGAGCATTGCCCTGTCTGTACACCAAAAAAGGTTGCAGGTTCGATTCTGGGTCAGGGCACATACCTAGGTTGTGGGTTCGATCCCCAGTCAGGGCACATATAGAAGGCAACCCATCAATGTTTCTCTCTCTCCCTTCCTCTCTCTCTCTCTAAAATCAATAAACATATCCTCAGGTGAGGATTAAAAAAAAAAAAATGTAAGCACATAAAGAGTGTTTTACTTTGTCTGATTTTTCCCCAGGTGGTATAGCTGCATGCTGGGAAAGAAGTGCAGCCTTGCTCCCCTGAAGGAAGAACTCCGCATACAAGGGGTGAGCCTTTGTCATTGCTGTTCTTGGATAGCTACTTTTGGTGGTAGTTGGACTATAGAATTTTCCTTTATACCTCAAATCTCTAAATGGGTTTTTCTGTTTATTTTTGCTTTATTTTTTAATTTTGTAATTTTGGGGCCAAAAGGGACTTTTCATAAATTATTTAAATAAGGCCTTGTTTGACAATTACTTATAATAAAGAAAAGGTGGGAAAACAGGTTGAGTAGAATGTCAGAGAGAAACCACAAATAAAAAAGCCTGGTGTCTACCTACCACACCTGACTCCTTTATATAATTGCAGAAACTCAAGGCTACATACATTAAGGGACTTGTTCTGGATTATGCGTTTAGTTGTCAAAGAACAGCTAGAACCAGAGCTATCCTCAGAAAGTTTGTTTCCCTCTATGGTGCAGTCCACATGGATTCAGCCCTTTGCTTCTGTTTTGAAAAGCAAGTGGCAAATAAATACTCCCCCACTATTCCCATTGCCCCTCCCAGTTTATGGTGTTTTGGCATGAGTAAGCCTGGGCAGGATGACTTTTCAAAGAAAAATCAGATGTGGGTCAGTGGTGGAAGCCAAATTTCTGATTTCTGGTTTCTCTCTGACATTCTACTTATGCTGTGTTCCCTAGCACACTTTTTTGTTGTTGTTGTTAAAATTATAACAGCTAGAGTTGTTTCATTTTCTTTCTTAAAATCTGATAGACAAAAGGGAGACTACATAGGTATGTCTAGCCATCCAGTGGCTGTCTTACAAAAAGAAAACAACAACAACATTCAAATCATTTTACCAATGATTATTTGAAGAGCTGTGTTTTGGGTGGTTCATATATTTGGATCTCAAGCCAGAACTATAAGTTTTTTCTAATGTTTTATGGGAGGGGGGAAAAATCCACAACTTTGTTGAGAGATAACTTATTTATTGGTTATTAGGCAGCTATGCATAATTGTTTTGGGATATTAATGTTTGTTAACTGATAAAAAGAAAGACCAACACATAATTTCACATGAGGCAGCAGCCAGAAACATATTGGTAGAATGACTTCAATTTGATGAGATGCTGTGTTTGTTGGTTTCAGGTTCCTAAAGTCACCTACACTGAATTCTGTCAAGGTCGGACAATGAGATGGGCCTTAGCTTGGAGTTTTTATGATGATGTAACAGTACCAGTAAGTAGAGACCTTGCTTTAGCATCTCCAAATACCAGCACATGGTGGGTTTTAGTAGGTCATCAGTGAACTAAATCTGTGCTGTCTTGTTCCCCTGAACTTTACTCCAAATTCTTGCATCAGAATGGAAAGTGGTTGTAAACATGATACAGCCCTGGAAGGCTGACTGTGGTCATTGTGGGGCCTTTCTCGTGGTTTGGTACAGACAGATTCTTGCTCAGGAAACATAAATGAATTGCAAATGCATCTTTTAGGAATTAAAAATTCAGATAATTTAACTCGTAGAAACACCCTGCAGGTATAATTATTCTGTTGGACATTCCTCAAGAAAGGGAATGGGAGTCTGTTTTCCTTTACTCACTGTGGCTTTCCTAGAGTACCTATCTCCTGGAATTCCTAGTTGAATATAGAAATTTGCCATTCGGTGTTGCAGGGTTTTGTTATGTAACACTTAGAACCCTTCGCTAGAATGGTCCCTATTGGCTTTAAGATTAGCACTAGAATATTGGTCAGTTTTGAGGCTGTGATAGGTCATTAACCTATTCTCTCTACTTTACGTATGCTTGAGCTTGAACATTAACATTTTCTGTAATACATTTTAAAAAACAATTTGTTCCACAAACTTCTCCTTTGTCCTCCATGCTGCTCTATGTAAATGAATTGAAGACTCTTCTGAAAAGAAGTCATAATAGAATAGTATCTCTTCTCACATTCCTCTCATAGGAGTGACTGACTTATTGCTGCCTGTAGCCTTCTGCCTTAAGTTTATGCACAGCCTGTGCTCCTCCTGCCCGTAGTACTGATGGAGGCCTGGTGCCTAGTCCTTCCGGTCTTGAATCCCTTGCCCATACAATAGGGTTGTTCTCAGTGCTCCTCTCCAAAGGTCTTGGCTACTCATGATCTCTAAAGTCACCTTAAATGTTCCAGTTTCATAGGGCAGAGGAGTAGAGACATGTGCACAAGTACAAAGGGACAATTTGCAGGTGTTTCTGAATACATGAGCTCGAATTTGAAACTGAGCCTGTCCTTCCTAATCTTCTGCAACTAGGTGTACTGCTGGGTTGAAATAAGTTTCCCAATCTACTTTGAATGCCCTGTCCCATGGAAACCTAGACCCGCTGCTGTATAATAACTGCAGCAGCAGGATCCTGAGTGGTTAAAGTTTGAAACACTCACTGGTTACAAAGATGTTTCTGCTTTTTGGACTTCCCTCCTTTATCTTTCATCTTCTAGAATACCAGGGTTTTCACACCAGATTGTTAAAATCATTCGTAGTGCTTTGGGTTAGTCCTAGGCAGACCCTAACAGCTACAAGAAAGTTGAACTGCACCTGTTCCCAATGCTTTCTGTTTAACTTGCTTCCTACGTGTGTTGGCACCCCAGGTGGAAGAGCTCATAATGAGCTCTGGCGCTCTTCACGTCATTTCAGAGACAGAGTCGCCCTCGCTGCCTTGGAGTAGTAGCTGTTTCAGAGTGAAGTCAAAGGGCACTGTGTTTCTGCGTTAGCAAAATCAGCTGGTTTTGAAAGGGAACTTTCTACGCCTCCCTGCCTTTCTGTCTTTTAGTCCCTCCTTGGGCCCTGTTCACAGTTTCAGCCATCAAAGGATGCCTTTTGCTAAGGGCCTCAGGTTTCTTCTATGCCAGAGTACTCATCCCTCCCCAGCACTGCCCCAACCCAAAGCTGTTAATAATGCATTCCCAAGTGTTTCGTTAGGTGCACTTAAACTGCTACAGGGAAAATGGCAATTTCTGATCTGTGGTAACCCAGCAACAGTTTCTTAGCACTGGTGCCCTTGATCAGCAACTGCTCTCCCAGGGGTAGTCCCAGGGCACTCATGAGGTTTTTAGTGGGCTGTCCTCTTGGTTCCCCTTCCCTCTGCCTGGGCTTCTCCTCACCTCTTGCCTTTTGAAGGAGTGACTGTCACCTGATTTTCCCCTTCTTGATCCTGTTGGGGGTGGGGAAGGAGGAGGACACTGCTTTAGATGAGGAGAGAGGAAGCCAAGATCTAGAGCTAGTTAGGCAGAAACATTGACCTACTTTCCCACCCCCATCCCCAGTCCAGCCTTTTTAGGGTAAATGTTCAAGTTACTATGGCAACTTCTGTTTTCACTTACCTCAGACCTAACTGACTCCTTTCTGTTGGTGCTGAATGCTGAAAAATTCTAATTCACTGCTGATTCAGTGCCTACCCTAAACCCATTGCTCTTGTCTAGATTTATTTTAGCAACAAAAAGACGAGTCCTGGTGTTGATAGAATTTTTGTACAATTATTTTTGACTGATGATGAATATAAGGAAGCATCTTGGAAGGACTGCTCTTTACAGAATTTTAACAAGCCACTTAGCATGCCTCTTTTTCCCAGCCCCTCTTCTAATTGCTCCAAGCTTTATTTAAGCTTTGCTTTCAGAAGCCTGATGCTTGTTAAAGGAAAAAGGAAAAATACTGTGGCTCTAGCAAGTTGTGCACTCTTGGCATGAGCATTGCCCAGGAACTCTTTCTCTGCCTTCAAGACATTTCCTGGGACTGTCCTGTCTAGGGAGTAATAACCATAGGGCCTTTTGGAAAGCAGATGGAGGGAAGGGGTCAAATGAATTAGGTAGCCTTGTTTGTGTCAGAGTTTGGGGTCTCCTGACAGTGCTCTATTTATAACTATAGGTTTTCAAACTACTAGTTCCAGATAGATTAGGGATTCCTTGTAGGTGTCCCAGGGATGATGTTGGGGGCAGACATCAGGTTGGTACTTCATTTTAACCAGAGCTGATCTACTTTTAGCAATGTTATGTATTGATTTTATTTGTTTAAAGGATTTACTGTTAAGAAATGGTTTGAAAACAAGTATTATACCATGGTATACATTATAAAATAGATGTGATGATTAGGGAGCTGAGCTCTTGAGCAAAACCAAAGCTCAGGACCCTCTTCTTACTTACGTTTCTTATTAAGCATGATCTCCATTGTGGTAATACCAAAGAAGTGACACCATTTTCTATCCCTTATGAGGATCAGTTTTATGGGAGAGAAAACGTGAAGGATTGATTCAGAATTGTGTATGAGTGAGAGCTAAAATGAGTGGTTGGGGCCAGAATGGTTGAGAAAGAGTTCAGGCTGGGCTCATCAGAGGTGACTTCGTCGGGGAGGAGTTGTTATTGCCTGACTTGCAGTGGGTGCTCAGTAAGTATTTTCTGAATGTGGAAAGGAATGGTATAGGACTTTTGCTAAGGTGCAACGTTACAAGCAGGACATTAATAGATGTAGTAGATTTGAGGCACTGGGTACAGCCTTTGTGGTTTGAATGGTTCACTTCTCACACATTGTCATTGTGTCTAAACCTTACAACAGTCAAGTAAATTAGATGGTGGTATTCCCACCTACTAGCTGAGTGAACTGGAGGCTCTCCAAAGTTAGGTTGGAACCCAGATCAGTCTGATTTCGAGGCCTATGTTCGTAGTCAGTCTGATACTCTGCTTTCCAAAGTACTGCCTTTTGTTCTAGCCTGGCCGTGTAATAACCGGTTCGTGCAGGCCCACATCATCTTGTAAGAATCACTTGGGCTCATCCTTAGCTCACCCTTCTGCTAAAAAATTCCCAAGTGGCTACCTGCTGCCAGTGGGAAGTACAGCTCGTTTGGCTCCTTAGGTGCCCAGATATGTCCTTAGATTTCCCTTCCATCATGATCACTCCCTGTTTTTCTGACTGTACTGTCTTCTACCGTATTGACCTCCACAGACCTCCCATGATGCCAGAGTCATAGCTCACAGCCCGTTCTCTGTCTGGTCCTTCCCTCCGACTTCCCTCTACTGCAGCCCAGCTCAATTCTAGTTTCTGCATAAAGTCTTCTTAACCATTCAGCCCATAGAAATCTCTGGACTTGTACTTATCTTTTTCAGTCATTTATATTCTCTATAACCTTCTTTGTATCAGTAATTTGTTTAACTCTGGCATGGCGGGTAACACCAAAACTATTGCATGGCGTATAGAAAATGCCTTTTATGAGCTGGCCCCTATCTAGTTTTATGTTGAGCAGGTTACTTAACTTCTCTAAGCTTCAGTATTCTCATTTGTAAAATGGGTGTTAATAACAATACCTACCACATAGGGTTTTGAGGATTAAATGTACTTAACATAGTGTCTGCTATGTGGTAAGTGCTCAGTAAAATATATTGTATTATCATTTCCTACTGTTTCTTCTCACCCGCCCCTGTATTTGATGCTCTAGTAATGAGCTACTGCTAAGTTTCCTTGGGGGCAGATTACATAAAGAGAATATCCAAATAGTCACTAGATAACTAAAAATTACCAGAGATTCCTATCTGACCATCAGACTCCTCATCTATCAAGCTAATTCAGACACTGCCTCCTGTGAAGCTCGCCCTGACTCTTCCTCAGCCGACATGGGATCCTTTCCTGTTGTCACTGTAGTCCTTTGTCCATATTCCCACCATGGTATCTTCGATGTGGCACTAACCTCGCATAGTATCTGGTCCTCAAATAATAATCGTTAAAGGAATGGAAATAAAGGAACAAATGATGTGGTACAGTGATTCTCAGACTTTCCCACTGAAGTACCAGCTTTAGCAGAAAACGGTCACTGACAAACCCCTGAGCATCAAAGGGACAGTGAAGACGTTCTCAGGAAGCGCTCTGTGATCATGAAGTCTCCTCTTTCTTTAAAATCCATTTGAATTTTGCATTCTATTCCCTGATTTTATTTCCATTTTTAAAAGTTAAATAATTTTAATATTGAGTCAAATTAACAATCTAAGATGACACACTATGTTTATCATTTAGTTCCATTGTTATTTTTACAAAGTATGCTAACAATAGGGTTAATTTTATAAATCATAAAAAAAGGTTAATTCTATTTTTTATAGAATTGTTTCTATTTTTTCATTTAGTTTTACCTTTCTCTTCCCAAAATGCAGCTTACAGAATTAACTACAATGCTATATCAGTATGTCTTTTCCCCCCCCTTGAATTGTCACTTTTTATTGAGTTACAC